TATATATTCTAATAACCCATTTTTGTAGGCTTTTTGCTAATCAGATTTCCAGGTCATTTGAAATAAAGGACAAAAAATGTTTCAGATTTATTTGTTAGACGTGAGGTCTTTCTAAGTGCATAATTACAGTAACACATTTTAATGTTATCTGTGCCAGTGCGAGTTTGTAGATGTTAAACAGAAGAGGCCCCAGTATGGAGCCTTGGGGAGCTCACATGTCAGTTTTGTCCTTGAAGTGGGAATTAAACCAATTTTACTCTGTGCCAGAGAGTCCCACTCAGTTTTCCAGCTGGAAGTTACAGTTAAATGTGAGGTCTCCTGCAGGTTTAAACTTGATTATAAGGCAAGGCAAGTTTATTTATACAGCACATTTTGGCAACAGGGCATTTCAAACTGCATTACATAAAACATCAAAAGTATAGAGACCAAGTGCAAAAGAAAAACTATATTATATAGGGACATTTAAACACAATTAAATTGCCATTAAAGAGCCAGAAGGGTTGAAAATGAAATGAAAACTAAAATATATGAATCAAAGTTCCAGTGCAGCGTAAGAAATGTATAAACATTTGATTTAATAAAAGGCAGCGGCCGACAGAAAAGTCTTCAGTGGACTGGAGCAGCAGCGTTGTTGGACCATAGTCCCCTGATGATGTAAATCTCTGCATTGCCTGCATAATTATGCTAAAGTATTTTAACGTTATCTGAGCCAGTGGACATATATAGATGTTAAACAGAAGAGGCCCCAGTATGGAGCCTTGGGGAACTCCACATGTCCGTTTGTCAATGTTTGGCAATTAAAGCAGTTTTGTTCTGTGCCAGAAAGTCCCAGCCAGCTCTTTAGCTGGTCTAGTAACATGTTTTAGTTAACCAAATCTTTAGGCAAAGATTAGGGCAATAAATCACGTTTTATTGTTACAGTTTTGCTAAATTACTAATAAAAGGATGAGCTGACTTGATCTTGATGAGCACTGACGACGATTTACCAGTCACACAATACTCCATGTGCCATAAGACGTAAGGCACCAGCAGTACAAATCTTAGTTGATGGACCTCTCAGCAGTAGTTCACTACTGTCTTCAACCCCCCCCCACACACACACACACACACACATACAAATTTACCTTGTAGTAAGACACACATTCAGTTTACATCAGCTATCAGTCTGCTGATTCACAGTAGAAATTGACTGGAATTTTTGAAACAACGGTTTCTTCATTTCAGAAGTAAGAGCAGCTTCTGACTCTGTCAGCTGTGGTTGGTTCAGCTGGAACTTTATCAGCTGACTGATGTCAGACTGAGTCTGTCTGATTTACATGTTAATATAAAAGCTGTTTGTAGATGAATCAGCTGTAAAGAGTCGGTGAGAACGGAGGTCGACAGCTTCCTGATTCCTCTTTCAAACACATCCTTTGGTTCTTTGTTCTCCGTCGGCTCTAAAAATAAAATGCAGCTCTGTTCACAGCAGCTCTTCAAATCTATAATTATCTCCACACTAAATATACACCTGAAGAGACAGACGTGTCAACTGATTATGACACAAATGGTTTTTATACGGAGGATTTTTATCCGTCTTTTAACTATACTCATGCACTTCCTCTCATCACTGGACGTTTAGCATTTTAGGTTGTACAACTATTTTGAAATGTGCCATTAGATTATTTTAACTGTTGATTAAAAACACAGCTGATTATTTAATATGCAAGTGATAAATTCATCTGCACCCAACAGACACCGGTCCCTGCAAAAACAACAAGGAAAAAAACACCAAAGCACATGTGGGTTAATGACATTTGAGAACTGGTGTCACATTTACAAAAAGGGACAGTTCAGGTTTGTTGCAGTGGGGCTGTGTGAGGTATTTATCCACAGTCAGTGTGTTACCTCAAATAATAAAATTGAAATTCAGGTAAAATATCAAAAAGATTTTTGAATGAAAACCAGACAGACAAGCAGGCAGACAGGTGGGCAGACAGGTGGGCAGACAGGTGGGCGGTCAGTGATGTGTTTGCGTGCTCCGGCGTGCCGTCACACTTGAAGCAGATCATGTGTTGGATGCTTTTGGCCCTCTTCATTTCCTCTGACTGTCTATAATCTTCTTCTGTGTCTGCATATTTTCTCTGTGCACATTACCATCAGACTAAAAACAGGAACTATGAAAACCTCGACCAACAGAACTTTGACTTCAGGAGAACACCCAAGGTATAAACTTGCATGGTCAAATGATGCACGCCGCCCAACCAATCTCTGAGCTCGCTCGGTAGTAGCCAAACACCAGTCCGCCCCGCCCCCCAGAATCCAATCCAGAGATAGACTCTTATCCTGGTGGCTCGTCTTTTCTCCACCATCTCTTTACGTTCTTTTGATTTTTCATAATTCCTGCACACTGGGGATGGGTTCACACTCGCAGGAGAGACGCCCTTCCTCTTCCTCCCTCTCCCCTTCTTCCTCCCCCTCCCCTTCCTCCTCCTCCTCCCCTCCTCCCCCCTGAGTTCTCCTCCATGTGAGGGGTTGCATGCAGCCAGGCTGAGGCTTGGTTCTGTCTGCAGATCTGAGGAACACCGACCCACCAGGATCCTCTCACTCCTCTGCAACATCAAACCTCCTTTTCTTTTTCTGTTGGGAAATGAACCACTTCCTCCTCCTCCCCCTCCTCCTCCTCCTCCTGCTGCTCCTATGCTCCCTGCCTCCCTCCTCCTCCTCCTCCTTCTCTCCACTCGAACTTTTTTTTTAATTTGCGGTTGCATCAGCGCTCTCTAACATGCACGTCCCTGATTGGTTGGTTGGTTGGAGTCTTGAAAGCGCCTCAGTTTGCATGTGCCACCACACCACGCACAACTTTTTGCCCCTCCTTCTTTGTCTTCAAGCTTCGACTTTGTTTCCTTTCAGTTCAGCAGATCTTCAACACTTTTTGTCTCCATCTTTTGGCCCCGCCCCCTCCCCCCGTGGTGGCGTGGGTGAGAGGGAGCATGGTCGAGGCTGGGGTCATGGGGGCAGGGTGTCGGGGTGGGAGGGGGAAGGGAGTCTGACGGTTCACAGCTAATAATGCCTGTCCTATGATGTTCTGTGGTGTTCTGTTCTGCTGTGTTTCTAAATGTCCCATGATGTGACCTGTCGCCCTGCACCAACACCTGTCGCCCTGCACTGTCGCCCTGCACCCTCACCTGTTGCCCTGCACCCTCACCTGTCACCCTGCGCCCTCACCTGTTGCCCTGCGCTGTCACCTGTTGCCCTGCGCCGTGGTCCTCCAGGCAGAGAAGGTGCTGCTGTTCAGTCCAGACACCAACCTGACGGCTCTGCTGCTGGAGGCCAAAGACCTGGAGGCCCGAGTCATCATCCTCTCTGCCAGGTCAGTAAGAGAAGAAGAAGAGTGGTGTGGGTGGGTGTTCAGTAACTGCTGCTCTGAGGTGTTTGTTTGGGTGTAGCTCGGCTGTATGAGCTGTGCTGTGGTGTAGCTGTGCAGCTGCAGGGCTGTGGATGTGTTGGATCAATATCAGTTCTGATACTGACCTGATTAATCAGACTGCGTATCAGTCAGATGAAGAATGACCTTCATCATCTCCTCACAGAGACTCAGAGATTAGACCTGTAGAGAGACGAGTGCTGGTGTTTATGAGCCTGTGACTCTGACCTCACTGTGAGTGGCTTTAGATAAAAGCATCGGCTGAATAAATGTCTTGTATTTATGGAAATGATATGGTGAAATTCTGTGTTGATACTGATCTGTTTTTCTGTTGTTGTTTAGTTTGTTTTTGTCGTTATTTACTTGCTCTTATGTGCCAGACACATACAACCACAGGGTGGGCTGGTGGGAGGAGTCATACAACCACAGGGTGGGCTGGTGGGCGGAGTCATACAACCACAGGGTGGGCTGGTGGGTGGAGTCATACAACCACAGGGTGGGCTGGTGGGAGGAGTCATACAACCACAGGGTGGGCTGGTGGGCGGAGTCATACAACCACAGGGTGGACTGGTGGGAGGAGTCAAACAACCACAGGGCGGTGATTCTAGTCTCTTTTTTTTTAGTTACTCAAACCGATTAATTATCAAATTAGCTGTGTAGTGTTTGCTGTAGTGTTGTCATGTGGTTGCTATGGTTCCTGTGGTGGTTGTTAGGGTGTTGTTGGGTATCCTGAGATGTTCTCGGGGTGTACTTGATGTTAGTCGTATATGTGTGTGTGTGTGTGTGTGTGTGTGTGTGTGTGTGTGTGTGTGTGTGTGCTGTAAATGTCGTCAGCAGCAGCCTCACATTTCTGTGTGTGTGTTCTGTGTGTTCACAGCGAGGATGAAGCGGCGGCGGTGTATAAGGCGGCGCGGCAGCTCAACATGACCGGCTCTGGTTACGTGTGGCTGGTCGGGGAGAGAGAGATGACGGGCAAAGCGCTGAGTGAAGCTCCAGACGGTACATCAGCCTCCTCTTCCTCCCCTCTACTCTTCCTCACTCCTCTTCTTCCTCTCTCTGTCTCTGACTCTCTCTCAGCTCTGTTTCCATCCAACTGTCACCAACAAAGTTTCAGCAGACGTTTTGTGTGTGATGAAACAGGCGTCAGGAGGCAGTTAGCACTAATGAAGTTGTTACATCGGCCTCATCACACATCAGAAAATAAACCCGTCACCTGCTGAGAGGAGCAGATCACAGTCTGCAGGAGCTGCTGCTCAACTCTTTCTATTCTTTCTATATTTGTACCAGACGCAGCTTTACACACTGAGCTCAGACATATCAGGACGGCATGTAGCTGCTCAGATAAACATCTGATTCACACAGTCGTCTGGTATCAAGCACAGCTACAACACATAAAACTGTACACACATGCTGTCTTTAAAATCACACAGTACTGATTTGTGTAAAATCTGATTTAATGCTCAAAATAAACACCAAAGAGTCAGAAATAATCAGCTGTGATCTCCTGATGACATCAGAGCACAAAAACTGACTGATGCAGTTTTAAAAACCTCAAAAAAATGTGACACATTCAGTCAGTCTCCAGTCACAGTGAAGTGGAGCTACAGTCCCAGCTGGACGAGGACATCTAACTGGCCTACTGTCCTTGTCCCAGTATACAAGCACGGGAGGGGAATCCATTTATTGAGCCAAGTATGTGCGACTCCTCTACGATAGGTGGAGATATGCCCCCTTTCAGCTTGTTAGTATTGGACCTTTTTCCTGTTGACCTATTACGTCACAGACCAAACAATGGACAAACAAGTTAGCTACGGTTAGCTAGCAGCTAACTGCTACCATGGTGGACAACTTTACAGCTCTGTACATTTGGTCCGTCCAAAAAGTCACGGCTCTGGATGTAGATTTCTCCATGTTGTTACCGGCTTCTTCTTCTCTTACACATTTAATGCTATTGGACTTCCGGGTCAAAGCCCGGGGCGGAAACTGTGGAGCATGCTCAGAGCGCCTCGGCCAGTTTGGGTCTGATTGACTGTATACATGCAGGAGTCACGTGATCTGGGTGTGTTAGTTCCACTGTGACACATTCACTGCAGGACCATTTCACTCACACTGACATGTTTACAGGGATTTATATAAATCAGTTTTCTCTGTCGTCATGGAAACAGACTGAGTGTGTTTGATTTGAATGTTGGCTCGACAGGACTGGGTGGTGTTTACGGTGTTGCCATGTGAACTGTTTGGTGCAGCGAGGGTGTCAGGGAGTGTGAGGTTTCATTTAACGCTGGAGTTACAGCAGTCAGTTACGATGATAATAAGCGACTGAAACAAAGGAATAAGCAGAGTTATTATTTTATTTAAATGTTGGATTCAGACTGTGTTCCATCACCGGGGTTCATTTTCAGTGTAATCGCTAAATTATATTAAAATTCATCTAAAAACGAATGAATGATCTGGATTCTCAGCAGTGATGTTGTATTTGTTGACGTTGAGCTAAGTCCCACCCCTCAAACACAGACTGGCCAATCACAGCGTAGCATCTATCAGCTCCAGCAGTATCACAGCTGAGCGCCACAGACTCACAGTCGCTTCACATTTCCTTCATTTTCAGGCTGGTTTTGTGGATTTGGATCTGAACAATGTGTCTGGAGCTCATCGTGAGGTTGGAGGGAGATATGTGTTTCAACCTCGTTCCAAAACCAAACTCCAGCCCTGTAAAGTGCAGGGTTAGCCTACTGAATGTGACACATGCTACTGTTGTTCTCCTCCATCATCAGGAGGGTTATTGGTCACTGCTAAAGCTCTGTTACAGTAAACACTTTAAAAGCATTATAATGTGGTTGCTATGGCTTCAGCAGCTGGTTGCTAGGGTAGCTCTGAAGGGTTCACATTACACGACTGTTTGACTGGTCAGATCAGAATCAGCACACCAGGACTGAGCGGACATTAAAACACCCCTCACCATGACCAGTATGTCATGTGACTCCCAGGTTGACCCACAACCAGAGCACCCTGCAGGTTGACCTGTGCATTGGTGGGTCCATCCGTCCATCCATCCATCCATCCCTCCATCCATCCATCCATCCATCCATCCATCCATCCATCCCTCCATCCATCCATTTTCACCCGCTTACCCGGAGCCAGGTCGTGGGGTCGGCAGATCAAGTTAAGCACCCCAGACATCCCTCTCTCCAGCAACATGTTTGCGGCTGGTTACTTATAAAATATCAAAGTCAAAAGGTGACTAAGCAGCATTCAGAGTTAGTTATTAATATCTATACAGTCTATAGGTCTGGTTTTCAAGACCTGCTCCTGAACCAGCACTGTGACGTGCAGTTCTACACCCACCCCGCCGCCCGCACACACAGTACGACCAAATACTTTTCCAACCCGACCTGGCGATACAAGATCCACACCCCGACCCAAAACCACAAATCCTATAATACTGTGCACCTTCAGGCAGCGTGTTTAATGTGATGATTTTGGACACGTCATACACATCAAACTAAGATATTAGATTTCAAAACAATTCAGGAAATTATTAACAACAGTAAAACATTCAATTAAATTATTATTATCAGTACTTTATTTTAATATTTTTACCATCTTACATCTGCGATCTGACCCGCATGTTCTTTGTTTGACCCAGAACCAAATAGCAGTTAGCAGCTAGCTCAAAGAAGAAGAACAGCAGCTGTTAGCAGTTAGCAGCTAACTCAAACAATGAGGTCCAGGAGCCCCTTACCCTCCGAGCAGAGGACGAGATCAGCCGCCGTATAACAGGGACGCTAAATGATTGTTATTGACATGTGATGTCATTGTTATTGTTTAGAGCTGCTGACACGTATGTTATATGTCACAGCAGATGCTGACACTGTTGTGTTACATGTCACGCTTTTTTTGATTCTGTGATGTCATGCTGTCTGACATCACACACTGGAGCCACATGATGCTGCTGTCGTTTGGTTCTGTGTAAAAAATGCAAAGGTTGCATAAAGAGAGGATGTCGTAGCCACTCTGTGTAAAAAGGGTCCTCAACCTGTGTCCTGCACTTTCATCGGCTGTTTCTCACTGACAGGTGAAATATTTAGCCTGATATATCTGTGGAGCGGCTGCGATACGTCAATGAGCCTCTCAGCCTGCGTCTTTGCACACATGTTGCTCAGGTGCCGATTCACAAGCACCGAACCAGTGCTGATTCTCCTCTGATCTGGAGCAGAGTATAAGGACTACAGTAGTGTAGTGTGAACTTGACCGGAGGTGTTTGTGGATCCAGGTAACGTTAAAGAGCGTCAGCTGTTGGTCAGGTGAGTCACAGACGAACACAGTGATTGGATGGAAACATGGCTGCCTTCTCTGCTTTCTCTGTCTCTGTCTGTAGTGCTGTAGGTCTCTGATGAAGGAAGCTAATCCTCATCACAGCGTCCTGGTGTGTTTCTCTCTCTGGTTTCTTCTAACTGCTGGTTGAACGTTTAAACATCCAAAAAAAGAAAAAAAAGAAAATGGCTGACATGTTTAAAGGTTCCTAACCGCTGTTTTCTTTTCTGGCTCATTGTAACTGTGTGGCTTTAAATGTGTCTAACATCTTTTTGTTTGTTTCATTTCTATAGTGTGTGTCGTCCGCCCGCCCGTCTGCCCGTTCTCACAGTACACTATAACAAGGGGGGCGGGGTTAAGCTCTATGCGGGGTCGATGGGGGAGGGGGGTTTAATAAACAGCTAGTGTTGCTACGGTTACCGTGACGTGTGTCTGAACAAACACTGGTAAGATGCCGCCGCTGCTTCCTGTTTCCTGCTTGATGCTTTGCCCTTTGCCATCGGCCAATAGAGGCCCCGCCCACTGCAACATGGAGCCCGCCCTGCCAGGGAGGGGGCGGGGTTTATTGAGTCAGCTGATTACTCAGTCAGCCAGATGATTATGTGATGTAACAGAGCTACGCTTTACGGCCAAAAGTATGTGGACACCCTCTGGTTGTGGTGCAGGGTGTATTTCCTGTTTGGCCTCAGCAGTTCTTCTCAGCTCCAGAGTCACAGACCAGGTCCTGTACTGGACAGTAAGATCCTCTGTGAACCTAAATTTCTCTCAGCTGACGCTCCCTGCGTCATCATCATGTCGGACACTGGCTCCGTCTCTCTGGCTGCTGGGTAATCGGCTCCCTGCTCTGTTGCCGTGGCTTTTTGTCTCAGAAAACATCCTCACCAGCCAGCTGCTGCACTCTTAAAAATGATGTGTTATTTTTCTACACATCCCTGTCTCTCTCCCAAACTCCAGATGTGTCAAAAAATTATCCATCATGTTCTTAAAAGTGTAGCAGGACTGCACTCTGAAAATGATCCTCAGCTGCTTTGTCTCTGCTGGAGAAGTTTGAGGTTTCTTTTTAGGGAAAGCGTCTCAGATTCAGTTCTTTTCATTGTGACATTTACCCACCAGGTTCCAGGATCCAGGGTCCAGGATCACATTTATATTTTATCTCTGATCCACAGAGACAACAACAAACAGTCAGGAGAAGTGCCCTGAAAATAGTCCTACAAACAGGAGGCTTTGTCTTCAGATTTCTAAAAGAGGATGACTCTCTAGATGACGAAGATCCTTCCTGTAGCGCCACCATCAGGACTGACTTTATATTTTTAGCTCCTTTGTAAATATCAATAAATGAGCAGTAGACTGAACGGGAAGATCCACTCTTGACTTTCATAAAGAAAAAAACATCTCAACTCAAAGTCCACTTACTGGATTTCCTGCAGAGCTTTCAGCCACATCCTGCCGAAGAATGATGAAGAACAGGAGATATGGCCGAAAGCTGCGGGAGGGATCTGGACGTTGGGTTAAGATGTTTTTGCCAGTCCAAGTTTATACACAAAATATTTGTAGGAAACAGGGGAGGCAGAGAAACCAAACATCACCTCAGTCTGATCATCAGCGCTTATTTTTACTCACGTACAAGAATTTAAGAGGCATGACAGAAACCGTCTACGTCAAACTGGAACGACCATCGTTAAACAGAAGAGGTGACCTACGACACCACTTATCACCCACCTACAATGCAGTCTTGAGATCCCTCCACAGACGACTTAACGTCCATTCACACCTGGTCCCACCTGACCCTAACGACACACATGGTGGTCATGTGACCTGTTCACACACACACACACACGCACACACATACACACACACACACACACACACACAGTTTAAAGCCTGCGATTCTGCACCAGAACTGAAGAAGCTTCTTGGATGAGAGGTGAAATGTCTTGAAGAAACTCAAGCAAGTCCAGTTGCCTACAACATAGCACCTAAGATAACCATGAGCTGGACGACTGAGAATCTTCACCGACGAGAGTTATAGCTTGAGTTATTATGATTTTCTATAAACAAGTCACAGCTTTGCAAAGTCCACTTGACTTAAAGATGTAAGTGAAACTTTTCCACGTTAAAATGACTAAAAAAGTCCAGACCCATGTTATGTATTTCGCTAAGTTGTGCACCTAGATTATCCCGAAAATTTCTAAGTCGAGCCTCAGACACACCGGCAGGCGCTCAGACTTTATCCTCTCATATAAAGCTAATGACTAACACTGGTACAGCTTTGGAAGATAAAATAAAACACAAAGAAGTTCACAGTTTTGTCTCCACTTGGTGTTTTAGTGCGGAATTTACATCTGTTCAGAATTTAGTCTCGGACCTGCCTGATGTGTTTGTGTGACGACATCATGATGACGTAACTGTAAGCTGTTCATTACCTTCATGATCAGCTGCTGTTCTTAAACAAACAACCAGGTGGTGACTCCGCTAGACTTCAGGTCAGAAAACCCTCCTGAACTTCTTTACAGACTCTTGGAGGTTTGATTGTGTACAGCTGATGGACAGAATAACGTGAACACCTGCAGCTGATAAAATACAACCAAACACATCAACGACTCTACAGATTGACCATCAGCCAACGACGACTGAACGACGACTGAACGACAACTGAAGTCTCCTCAGATTCAGTCTGTGCTGCAGGTTGTGTTGGATTGTATTAGCTGGTGCAAGTGTTCCTGTCACTGAGTCCACCCCTGTATATATATCTGTATGTATATCTGTATATGTATCTGTACAGTGTGGTAGGGTCACACTGAGACGATTCCCTAAAAAGAAACCGATGAAGCAGTACTGTGACATTATGGATTTTGATGTTGTTTCTCGTCACCAGACACTCGTCACATTATGAGGAAAAAGTTTCTGCATTTGGCGCCTCAGCTAACGGAACAACAGTCTGCTAACACCGTTAGCATTCCTCTATGGAAATAACAAGCTCTGCTTCATTAGTTATGATTAGATAAACAGGTGGACTCTAATCATCAGTGTGTAATTACAATAACCAGCTCAGCCCATTGGTTTCATTCAGTAAAGTTGGCTGATTGTTCCCAGGTGTTTCTGTGATTAAAGCAGTGAGACTTCAGTTTATTCTCGTCAGGAACGCGTCACTCATTTGTTTCAGTTAAGAGCTCAAACAGTTTCAGAGTAACCTCAGTGTGTGGGTGAGGGGAAAGATATTAGCTTGTTGTACCCACAGAGTGTATCAGAGAGGTGGACGTAAAGTGTCTTAAACCTGCCGTCAGCTGGCCAGCAGGGGGTGACTCCACTGGCTGCAAAAAGAAGTCTGATTATAAGTCAATGACAACATGACGAATATTGAGAAAATTATTACCACTTCTGGCTTCAAAAACCCCCCAAATGGTGACAGCCAAAATGGCGAACTCAAGGCGTCTAAATGAACCAATGGGTGATGTCATGGTGGCTGCATTTAGTTATGATTGTTACCTTTAGTTTCAGCAGGGGATGTTAGCTTCGTTGTCTTAATATACTCCCCTGAAACAAACTGAAAGGTTCAGTTTATATAAAACTCCTGTAGCCTATCAGGAGGAGGTCCGCCCAACGTTCCACAGCCATCATGTACTAAAGTCCGTTATCCCCAAATCAGACGACCATGGCTCAGAAGAGACGTTTTTCCGGTGGCACTTTCCCAAGCAGATGCACATGGCTTATTATTGAGCAGAATGACATCATCTGACCTTCATGTGACCCTTCCTGCTCTTCCTCTGATTGGCCAGTACTCTTTGCCTTCGTTAGCTGAGCTCGTTAGATCAAGGGTCATCTCTATGAAAGGATATCTGTAAATGTGTGCTGAGTTTATAGCTACAGGGATAAGATCACGATATTAGAAACATTCTGGTTTCTGTTTGTAGTCTGAGTTGTATTGACCGATAACGTTTGAGCAAGTAAAGAACCCATCAGCTACCGTCTGACGATGAATTAGCTTTAAATTATACTTTGTTAAAAAATGATCTGGAGATTAACCGAAATGACTAACAGAGGAAGTCTTAGATATCTGATTGCTACACCGGATCTCCTGAAATATTGGTCAGTGCCCCCAGAGGCTCATCGTTATCATACCGATAGATGATGACACGAGGAGTGAGGTTATTTAGGGTCAGTATGGGAATATCGGGGTAAGTCAGTCAAACACAGAGCAGGGTTGGTAATGGCTTCACCATGGGTCCAGTGACGTCATTCTGCATCATAGTCAGCCTTATTTGTGCTTCGGTTTGGATATTGAAAAAAAACAAATCATCTCTTTGGAGCTATGCACATTTGACTTTGAGATATCTGCTGTCGGACGAATGGACTTTCAGTCCAGACGACTGGGGCTTCAGAATTACGGTTCATCGCTGCTCTGTCGAGCTTCATAAACACCCTTCAGTTAGAAATGTTAGCTAGCTCTCTATTTTTTCTTTATATTATCTGCTCACGAAGTTTAAGGAGGGAAGCTAGCTGTGGCAGCCAACTTTACTTTGGGTATACTAACTAGCTACAGTGCTAACAACATTAGCTAGTATTTTCAGTAGGAGATTAACTACCTGTCTCCAGTAGTTTCTTTGAGGAATGCTAACAGTGTTAGCCAGCTGTTGTCAGTTAGCCGGAGGGCAGATGTAGACACTTTTCGTCGCAGTGTGACGAGTTTCAGCTGAAGGAAAACACCAGACACGGTTCGTAATGTCTCAGTGATGCTTTTCTGTCCTGAGACAAACGGCTGTGATTCTCAGAGTGAACTCCCAGCATGCAGTTTGGTACTGAACACTGACCTGACGCCTGAAGCCCTGAGTGAGTGTGTGTGAGTGTGTGTTACACTGAAGCACTCCTGTAGTTACATCTGTAAGATTGATTAAAGTGTGTGTGAGTTTCTAATTAACTGAATGAATGAGGGCAGTTTTCACTCTGCAGCCTGTTCAGCTTCCTGCTGTGTGTGTGTGTAACCTCTCTCCCCTGTGTGTGTGTGTGTGTGTGTGTGTGCATGCGTGGGCGTGCGTGTGTGTGTGTGTGTGTATGTGTGTTGCATGTGGTGCAGGCCTGCTGGGCCTCCAGCTGATTAACGGTAAGAACGAGTCGGCTCACATCGCGGACGCCGTGGCGGTGGTGGCTCAGTCTCTGCAGGAGCTGTTTGAGAAGGAGAACATCACAGAGCCGCCACGGGGCTGCGTGGGAAACACCAACATCTGGAGGACCGGACCGCTTTTTAAACGGTCAGTGCTACCAGCGCCTGGGGTCAGAGGTCACTGTGGGCCAGTGCTGATGATGTAATCACATTTAACAGGTCTCTGTCTGTATTTCCCATCTGTGAATTGTTATGTTGTAAAAAAGGGTGAAAAATCTGTGGTAGTTCTACTATGACGTTACAGATCAGGAAAAATAAGACAGCAGTTTGAGCAGCAGTCGGAGCGTCTGTAATGTGACGTGGTTTTGAGTGAAATGAAAATGTGTGCAGAGTATAATCTCTATAATCTGTAGCGGGATTTGATTTGATTGCTTCAAAGTGTCTGCGGCTCACAGAGCTGTTTGTTCTGCTCTTTAAGGATTTTGTTTTGATGTATTTTTGGGGGCAGTTTTGTCTTTATTCACTGGAGACAGAGGAGTGTCTTCTGCCAACTGATCTACTGACAGTAAATGTTTATATTTAGACAGTACATTTATGTTCAGCACAAACTGGAGACAGACTCACAAAGCAGACTGACAGACTTAAAAGTTAAAGGTCTTAAATCAGGCTCAGGTTGGAACTCAGGTGATCAGTTACAGAAGCAAAGGGTCAAAAACACACAACACTGGAACTCACTCTGAAGTAAAGATGATCTGGCAACAAAGGAAGACAGAGACTTAAACAAACTAAAGGTGCTTTCACACCTAACCTGTTTGGTTCGGTTCAGTCTAACTCCAGCTGGTTTGTCCCCTCAGTGCGGTTCATTTGTGCAGGTGTGAACACACCAAAACAACCGGACAGAGACCTTCTTGAAGAGGTGGTCTCAGTCCGGTTCCAAAGGAACTCTGGTGCGGTTGGTTTGTGGTGAGAAGGTGTTCCGACCTGGATGTGAAGCAACTGCAGTCACATGACACATTGTTTGGGTTAAACATGAGCATGTTACAGTCCTGGAGGATTATTAATGTGCACCTCCTCCTGTACTGCCTTAATATGCACATTCAGCACATCCAATGCATCAAAACATTGTTTTCTAGTTGGAGCCGCGCCTCGTTTTCAAACTGTATGCTTTGACTAAAATGAACAATGACAGCAATATAGTCCACGATGAGCAGCGCTAAAATCAACCTGCGTAGTTGTCCCTCCATTGTGACATTAGAAAGTGTCACATTTATCTTGCAAGTGTACTCTTCTTCAACGTTTGCTTTACTTCCTGGATTTTTCCCACATGGAAATTCTGACCAATCAAGAGCAGCTTTCTCACACAAGGCATTTGATCTGGTCCTCTTGTAAATGCTGCAGTGAGAACAAGAACCAACTCTAGGCAATTATACAACTTTGGAACAACATGAGTCCCTGATTCAGACCAGAGGAGACCACTCTAGGGCTGACAGCAGCCTAAGACAAGAGAGACACTGAGACACAGGTGAAACACATCAGGGCGGGGCAAGTAATCACAAAGGAGGGAAACGTAGGACCTGCAGTCTGTCTTTCTGTATAAGATCTTTGTCTCAGTCATCGTCGTAATGGGATGAGGTTCAATCAGATTTATTCTTTTAAGTTTATATGAATCTTGTTTGTTTTTTGATCTGTGTAATTTTGTGTAAATTCATTCTGCTTTTTGGCTGAATTGTAAATTATCTTTTGAAATATGTCTTTGAAGAATGTGAAAGAAAAATTATTGAAAAAGAAAAGTGAGATAACTGATAATCAGTCATGTGACCCGAGCATGTTTAGCACACCTGTGACTGTGTCGAGTGAACCTGAAGAGGCCATGGGGCCAAACATGATGTTTGCTCTTAATAAAATCACAGTGATTCAGTTCAGTGTAGTTTATGTTGATGATTTTATCTGAGATGTTCCTGCAGCTGATCAGCACCTCTGTTTACTTACAAAATATTTGTTTACATATTTGATAGATATAAAGAGAACAACTGGGACTCATAATGAGAACATGGAAATATATTATTACTGTTATTTTATTATCAGTTCCTCTGAGAGCTGAAGAGTGTTGAGTTTCTGATGAAATATGAATGAAGCTAATCATTTGATGTAGATATGTAATGTGAGAGTGGAGGGTCCCTGCAGTTTCAGTCAGTGTTCGTGTTGGACATCATCAGTGGACGCCCTCAGGCTCTGATCTCACTGCACTGAAAAGACTCTCACTGCTGTCCACTGAGATCAGGACGGACTCGTCTCCTCCACCTTCAGCCACAGAAACAAACCGAGACGCTTCACTGATCTGATGTGGAGTCAGCTTCGAGATAGACGGACACAACTGGGATAATAAAGCTCGCTGTCACTGCTCCTCTCCTCTCTGTGTGACCTAAATACACCATCAGCATCACAGGCAGCCCACAGCAGCACTGTCATGTGACCTGTTGTTACTTTAAATCCTCGTCTCTACAGTCAAAATAAAACCATTACCACCCTGACGCTCCTGCTCTCTGATTGGCTCTCCAGAGTGCTGATGTCGTCCAAGTACCCTGACGGTCTGACAGGACGGATCGAGTTTAACGACGACGGCGACCGACGCTTCGCCACTTACAGCATCCTAAACTACCAACAGAAGCCAGGTCGCCTCGTCCAGGTAGGAGTCTTCAATGGATCACAGGTACAGTACACCTGATAACACACGGTGGTTATAGCTTGTTACACACCTAGTTAAACACCTAGTTACACCTGGTTACACACCTGGTTACACCTGGTTACACACCTGGTTACACACTTAGTTATACACCTTGCTACAGGTGGTTTCACACCTGGTTACACACCTGGTTACACACCTGGTTACACACCTGGTTACACACCTGGTTTCACACCTGGTTACACACCTGGTTTCACACCTGGTTACACACTTAGTTATACACCTTGTTACAGGTGGTTTCACACCGGGTTTCACACCTGGTTACACACCTGGTTTCACACCTGGTTACACACCTGGTTACACACCTGGTTTCACACCTGGTTTCACACCTGGTTACACACTTAGTTATACACCTGGTTACACACCTGGTTTCACACCTGGTTACAC